CGTGTCTGTGCGCGTGTGTGTGTGTGTGTGTGTGTGTGTGCATAAGGGCCAATAATGATTGACCCTGTTGCCATGATTTGGTGGTTTTTTTTTTATGCAGGCTGGCGTCAGTGTCTACAGTCTCTCGTCAGTCCTAAAAATGGAAATTTATTTTCTTGTCGCTTTTGTTTTAGTGAGCTTCATAGTTAATATTAGTGATATTAATTTATCTAACTGTATTGTTAGGGTGTTTTTTCTTAATTTGATCTGTCAGAGGCAAGCCTTCTTTTGTTAAGATGAAGTAGAATCAAGAGTTATCCTTTGCTGTAGCTGAGTGAAATGTAATGCATGTATCTCCTTTACACATCTATCTCATAGCCATATAACTAATATATATATATATTTTTCAAAAACCATCTGCAGTTTGGAATAAGTAAGAGTATAAAACAGCCACAATATCCTCAAGTGATTGGTAACCGGGTATTTAGTCATTAATACTTTTTATTTCTAATTAAACAATATCCGTCAGCTCTGTCATAAAAAAACAACTGCGTACACATTTTCTCCGGCACTAGGTTGTGCACATATTCTTAACAGATATCAGTATCTGGTCAGCAGCTGAACGGCCGTGGCTTGGTAACTTACCCCTCGCGGTGCACGGCGTTAAGTTGCCAAATGACACGTCTTAAGCTAGGTGGCGCAGCTAGAAGTTATTTAAACCACAAGCTATTAACTGAACCTGTTAACATTGTTGGACCCTGACTCGGGGTTGTTTCTCAAACCTGTTTTTCGAAACTGTTTCACCCTTTTTTTTAACTTTTTGTACTTTGAACATTTACAAACTAGAGCTGAGCCCGAAGGGAACTGAAAGACGGCACGCAGCAGCCGCAGCATGTTCGCCCGGCTGCCATCTGGGAGGAGGTACAGAAGCTTCCGCTGCCGTAGCACCAGACTCAAAGACCGCTTCCTCCCTCAGGCTGTGAGGCTGCTGAATTCTTCCTCAGCACTTCATCATACAAATTATTTTTATGACTTATCGATCCATTTTTATTTTGTTTTTACAAGTAGCATAAAGGGAACTGTATCTGAGTTTCATTATACAACCCTGCATTGTAACTGACAGTAGAATAACCTTGAGTCCCCTATGTGACTAACATAAAAACGGAAGTTTTGGATTAATGGATTGTAATCCCCCACTGGTCCTAGTTTTCTTCTCTTTGGAAGGCAGCCAATCATCAAGGATGTCAACAAACGCCTCTTCCTGGACCCGTGTGCACGTGTTAATATAACACAAAGGTCGCAGTGCCTATACTAGCAGCAGCAGCAGTGCACAGATCTGTTCT